TTTGTTAGTTACCAAGGATGGGCCCGAAATGGATGTGCGCAAGGTAATATTATACTGGATAATTTTAAAAATTGACCATAAATAGTTTTAGAAAATAGATGTTTATTTAAGAAAAAATATAAAATAGAAAAGAAAAAGTATAAAACGGAAAAGGGAAACATAAATTGCCTGTTTCGCAAATAATTTTAGTCACGGATTTGCACGAAATGGATTAGCGCATGGAAAAATTATATAAATTATCAAAGAAAAAATTTTAATAAATAATTTTAACACGGAATTGCCCGAAATGGATTTGCACGTGGAAAAATTAACAAAGAAAAAATTTTAGTAGATAATTTTAGCCACAGATTTGCCCGAAATGGATTTGCACATGGAAAAATTTTATAAATTAATAAAGAAATTTTTTCCCCTGATGTCGATGTTTGGGTCGGCATACACTCGCTCCGTTCTTTTAATTCCACCTTGTGTGAGATGTTGCGCCATTACCTGGTGTGAGATCACTTCGGTACATCTAACTTTTGGTCTTAAAATGTACTACAACATTGATCTAGCACTTAATACACCTTCTTGATATTGAAAAAATTAATATTAACTTTTTAATAAAAGTAAAAAGAATCAAAATAAAAGTTTTAATTTATTTTTATAATTTTGATTTAATGTTTTAATCTTAATCTCTGCCTCTGGTGCTAAGGCGTCTGGAAAAACATTTTCTACACCTTTTTTACCTTCATTGTCAAGATTAATGCCTGTATTATGGGTCAAAACATAACCGAAAACCGAACTAAATTCATCACACCGGGAGTAGTATTTTTGGCTTTCATAATTTGCAAAAGAAATTAAAACTTGAAGGTTTATAAATAACAAATAAAAATTCGGTCTTTTTATTAGAAATATGAATGCAATATATGATGATTAGATTATGATATATGATGTTAAGTTTATGATATCAGATTAGAGTTTATAAATATTTTATAAATATTTTTGCAGATCAACATGTATATTATATAAATGACAGCTGTTTCACAATCTAATACTGTCCTTGAGACTAGTACTGCCCTTGAGAGCAAAAAAATGCTAGAATAAATATTTTTTTTTGTTATTTTAGAAGTCATTTAACTCAGAAAACTTGCGGGTCAAAAAGTAGCCCCATTTCACAGGAGTTCTATGTATGCTGGTAAAGTTTGAAAAATAGAATCAATGGATAACTATGGGATTTATCAAATTTTTCTTGATAAAAATTTTCAGGTTTTTGAAAACCCTACATAATTGTGTGTGCATATAAAAATTCAATATAGATCCGAAATAGAAAACTTTTTTAAAACCTTTTTTCGTTATTTGCACATTTTCTCACTAGAGTTTAATTTATCCTTCAAAAATAATAATGAATGCATGTTTGCAAAGTATAAGGAATAATAAAACTGATTTTATTGAAAAAAAGTTTTTGTTGTGTACTCTTTAAAGTATTAATGAATTTTTAGATCCGTTTTAGTATTGCAAAGTTAAAATAACTATTATGTTTATTTTTTTAAGGGAGAGAATATAAGAAATCGAGTATCGAAATTTACATGAACGCCAACAAGTAAGTGATTACCATCTTATAATTTTTCGTAACAGGAATCATCTTGATTCATTGTGCATTTCTTTGCATCTAAAATATTCTGCATACTCGTCAGAAGAAAGCATTGGTTAGTACAACAAATGAAAGAATGCAAAATTATCTTACTGTCTAAAATTCGATAAAATGTTTGGAAGCAATAAAATTTCAGATGTAGCAAAACGAAGCATATAGTTGAAGCAAACTTACAAAGGAAGTGGGCATCTTAAACCTATTAAAACAAAACCAAGCTTAAATCAAGGAACATGATTAAAAACAAAGGATGGATGAAACAAATTGCAAGAATTGTGGTCTATGGGTCTAGATACGACATCACAAAGCTCTAGTTTATGGAACATTGAAATTAGAAGAAAAGGCGAAAGATGCCTGGTTAAGGCATCTGACTCATAGTTTAAATGACACGGGGTTTATTCCGACAGGCGATTATTTAAATCATCTTCTTAATTAAAGCGTATATTTCTACAATTTTAAGTTCAAATACTTTCGCTAAATTAATACTTTCGAAACTAAAATTACGCGATTTCAAGTACTTACGAAATTTTCGGGTTTCTTCCATTTTAATGATATCGGCAATTCATTAAAAAAACGTAAAATCAGTTTTCAAAAACTTCAAACTTTTAAGGCAGACATTGTTAAATTTTAGGAAACGAAATTTATATGATTTCAAAAATCTGTTAAACTTTGGAAACCTCACAATTCTTTTACATTTTTTAACTCTTCAATGAAGATGTGGTCTTACATTAGAGTCATGAATTCAAGACTATATGGTTTTTCTAATGCATCGCGTCCTACAAATGCGTTCAACACAAATAATATCAAAGCATTCCAAGACATAAAGACATGGGAAAACCTATAAAAAAAAATTCAATGAATAAAAAAAAAAGTTGTATTAAAAACTTGGCATCGAACTTAATTGGATTGAAGACTAAAATTCTATAATGGTAAATGACTAGAAAATAAAGTCTCGACTTAAATAAGGAATATTTAATCTCAACCTGACTGCTATGCAAGATTTATACCGACTACTAATGCAAAGTACAAGCTTACCATAGAGTTATTTCCTGTTGAAGTACTATTCGAAGCTCTGAGAACCTCTGTAATGTACCTCTAAGATTCTTCGTAGAGTCTCACACACCTGTTCAATTCATTTAGATCCGGGAACCTTACCGGCAATCAAAGGTTAAGCAACCGGTTCTTTAAAAATTGAAAAAACGATTTATTTCCAGAATAAACTGCACAAATATTGTAACTAAAAAATTCTATAATTAGCAAAATAACTATATATTAGTATTAAACTATTGACTATTAATTATTTAACTGTGAACTATTTTAAAATATACATTTACTATATGTCTCAAATTCAATATTTTTTAGTTGCGTATCTTTTTAGTTACCATTGTCAAACCCTCTTCAGTTTCTATTGCACACAGATATCATTTTCTTACAAAAAGTATTTTAAAAGATAAAGTTTTAAAAGTAAGATCTATCAATACAATCATTTCAATACAATCAATACAATATCAATACAATCATTTGTCGCAAATATATTAATTCTCATTTATTTATTTCAGAGTGTAAGCTTAATACAGATTAAATATTCCTTTCTGCAGTTTAAACTGAAACGACAAATTTACCAGCCACAGTATAATGTAAGTATAAAAGTTTTAAAATATTATATAAATTACAATTTTATATATATATATATATATATATATATATATATCACAGCGTGACCCGAAATTTT